AGAATCCTTGGACCGATGGTATTCTTTTTTTAAAAAAAATGGCGGTATGAGGATGCCAACTTCAGATTGCAAATGAAATTCCAAACGGTCCAAAAATACCAACTTCGTACCGTCTTCTGGTGTAACGTGAATAACGCGGTCCGAGATTGGCATTCTTGGACTGCATTGAACTTTATTTGCAGTTTGAGGTTTGTTGTGATCGATTGGTAAAAATCAACAAGGGTTTATAGCATTCACAGCTATTGTGCGTTCATATCAATATAAACAAGTACTGGAAACTACACAATATCAAAGCAAAAACATGAAATGAAAAATCTAACAACATTCAATCCATAAAGCACAAAGATTTAATGTGGTTCGATCACAAATCGTGACCTACATCCACAGGAGATGACGCGAGACTTTACTTACTGATTTTGAAATATTACAATGTGAAATCGAGTTCAAAATATCAATTTAAATCAGCCCTTTCTCACACTAAACAGAGCCCAAAATCAAAGCACAAAAAACACCCAAAAATGAGTTTTTTTTAACACTTTCTCTCACTAAACAAGGCACACGGCAAACCCACAATGGATTTCAAGTCTTTTGCTCACTTTCTCTCTCTAAAACAGAGCATACTAAGTTCTCTAGATAAAACCTAATTGCAGCCCAATGTCTCTATCTTTTTCTCTGTCTTTCTCTCTCTAAACAAGAGCGTTTTAATCCTTTTAAAAAAAGTAAAGTTCCTACGACACTACAACCATTGGATTAGATGCAATCCAAAGAGAAAATTTAAATAAAATTCCCACATCTGTAATTTATTTTCACACATGTAATAAGGTTGACATCCTCGAACCACCTCTTAAACTTCATTTCCGATCTAAGAATGTCATCCTCAGATCACCTTCTATTCTTTTATATGTGGAATTCCAAACGGTCCGAAGACGCCAACCTCAGACTGCCTGGGCATTGCCCTTAAAACTTGGGCCACTGCCCTACTCAAGGAAAAAAAAAAAAAGTAAAATTTGGTCTGAAGATATCATACTTGGACAGAGGGGTAATTTTGGAGAAACAAATCACACGTTGACCGATCTTCTTTATAATTTCGTGCTATAAACAAAGCATTTTATATCTTCACTATTTATTTGTGGTACGTACTTAAATTGCTTTAAAGCCTAGGCCTTATGAAAAGATAAATAAAGGCCTTATGGGAGTGGATTTTGTCCGCCCACGAGCTGACTGCTATAGTATCAGCCAATGGCCCAGATTCAATCTGGGCTGATCTGACGATTACGACTTGATTTCATATTTTAATTTTAATTTTTTTTTGACAAATCCAAATCACTTGATATTTTAGGCGTTCATTCTTCTCATCAAGGCACACCTAATAAAAATATAAAAAATATTAATTCTTAAAATATAAATTAACCAAAATACCCTAAAAACGTTTCGAAGGTATTTTGGTCAATTTATATTTTACGAATTATTTTTTTAATATTTTTATTACATTCTACTATTTTTGAAGAATAGACGCTCCAAATTTCAAGTAATTTAGATTTTTATAAAAAAAATTAAAACTAAAATATAAAATAAGGTCATGACAGTCAGATCGGCCCAGATTCAATCTGGACTATTGGCTAATACTGTAGTTGTCAACCTATGGGCTGACATGATCATTTCCCTATAGATACAATTTTGAGCTATATATATATATATATATATATGAAATAGATGGAAGATGTTGTGTTCTTTGAAATCTCTCTCTAGTGTTTACTATTTTAAAACTCTCTCTCCGCACATTGGGTTGATTTACCTCACATGTGCATGATGGATTTTATGAAAGATACCATGTAATAACCGATGAGCTGAGTTACCTCTGATGTGCGTGATGGATGATGCCATGAAAGACACAACAACGAGATATCCAAAAAATTTATCTTAGGAAAATTTTTATACAAGGTGTGAACTTTATATTATTGAAATAAACTCCACCTCAAAAATTGTCTAGAAGAGATTTTTTCGGTGTTAGAAAACCTTCTATTTTGATCATCTCAACCTCAAGATGTACGGACACAAAAAAAGTAATAATTTCAAAACCTAAAAATAATCTTGTAACAATTATTTGTACAGTTTTTTTAAAATTATTTATAGGTTTATACTATTTTTAGAAATTTAAATTTCATAAGTTCGGATAAAAATAAATTTTTAAAGTCATCCTAAGGTTTCTAACAAGTACATCTTCAGACAAAATTTAGAGATGCACCTGAAAGTGCCTTGTACAAACCTCACCGTTTATTTTAGTGTGGCATGACTTTTTAGCAGTCTTTATATTAGTTCATTGGCATGCATCTCATGTGTTGGTTATGCATTGCTTAATTTGAGTGGATCTTGTTCCATATAATTCTTCCTAAACCAACTTTGTTGTATTGGCTTTGTTATTTATTTGTCCCGATAAAGAGCGGTTTTAAACCTCAGCTTGCTCACTATTTAAAGCGTGTTCAAAGCCACAATTTGGGGCAAGTACTCTCTGCCTATGCTCGATCCAAGTACTCGGCCTGAATAAATCCAGGTATTCGGCCCGAGTGACTCGGCTGATGCAGTAGAAAAATTATCGGCCGCAAACAACCGGTAAATCCACTACAGTTGAAAAATTATAAGTTGCCCAGAACTAAAAAATCCACCGCATTTTAGAGAGAAATAAAAATTGAGAAAAAACTGTAAAAGGAAAACACAGACGTCCTCGACCACACACCCACAAAGCATAGAAATGAGAAACCCATGAAAGAGGCTCTCTCTCTCTCTACAAAATAAACTTTCATTTTTATATAACAAAAACTCATCCCTCGTACTCTTACAATATAGTCTCTTTTATACTACCATCTCATTCGAAATGAGTGTGCCTTCACACAAAAAAAACATAACGTAACTTGTTTCATTTCCCATCATGTCACTAGAAACACATGATAAATAAACGCTATCTATCGAACGCCAGTGACTTCTAAAAAATGATAAACCATAACTCCCGTATTTTCATGCTTTTTTATCCAAAGATAAGAGTGGACATTTAAGCCCTACAAACGATATTACTTCCTAAAAGGCAATGAACTCCTATTCACGTAACTTTTTATAAAAATAAATAAAGGCTATTTATCTTTGGTGCAAGGAGGTCGCAATTATTTACAACCATCCGATGTAAAATCTGATAAATTGGGTGTATCACAAAGTTTGAAAAACATTATTTCGAACTTTGAGTTTGGTCAATGAAATAAATTTAGCCACCAAATTCACATCTAATGGTCAAGATTAATTGTGACCACCTTGTACAAAAGGTAAATGGTCACATTTTATATTTTCCCGAATAAATATCCAAAAAAATAAAAAAGATAAATTTTCCTAAAAACATTACTCATACCAAAAAAAAAAGATTTATACTTCTACAAAAAAAGTAAATTTATATATAATAAATATCCCAAAACATTAAAAGATAAACTTTCCTATGAAAAATACTCATACCAAAACAAAAGGATTTATCCTTTAATAACCAAAAAAAAAAGAAAAAAAAAAAGAAAGGTACTTCTTGAAAAAAAATGACTTTATCAACTAAATAAAAAAAATACCCATAGTTTCCTATTTCTAAAAATTGACTCTGATAATAAATAAAAATAAAAAGCTGCCTACATCTCTTAAAATAAAATTAGCAAAACTAAAATTAAAATTTGTAACAACCAGATCTTGATATGCATCATCGACCCAAGTAGGGCCAAGTATTATAGCAGCGGAAAAAAAAAAGGTTAAGAAATTTAAGAAATTACGAAAGAGAAATCCAAAAAAGTTGATATGTTAGTGTAAAGTTAGATTAATCAAGACACATCAAAATGAGTAAACAAAAGTTAGTAAAAAAATAGATTTTTAAAAATCAACTTCTAGTTGGGGGCATTTGAAATAATGTTAAAACGAGAGAAAAAAAAATGTAAAAATCAGTATTCATAGCTAAAACACTTTCAAATCTTTGCTAAAATAATAGAAAATATAAAAGAAAAAACATATCACAAATAAATTTTTTATTTTTTGAGATTGTTATGATTTTTTTTTAACTTTTTTCGTATCCCCGAGTGGGTGACATAATTTGGCCCGAGTACTCAGGACCTGGACCGAGCAGTCAAACACTGATTTAAAGCTCTCATTTTATTTTATTTTTTCACGAGAGTACTTACTTTTGATTTAACTAAGCACTATTTACTCCCAAAGAAACGATTGCCCATCACTTACACACATGTTACCATCAAGTTCGAGAGATAAGAGAGAATGAGGTAGGGAAGAAGATTGTAGCTTATTGGATTGGAAACTAAAAAGATTCGAGGGACCCTACATAATCTTTCTCCACAAAACCCCACAAAAATATACCTCCATTATTTATGGATGCGGTTTCCTTAGAGAATATATAATCTTTAATATGGGATCATGAATATATGAATTTTTTTTTAAAAGAAATTAGAAATAATATTTATATTAAGAAAATATTTGAACCATTAGTTACAATTGTTTTAAGATGGCCACCTATTTGCATCCATCTTTGAAATAGATGTTTTATACCTTTGGACAGCATATTGTAGAAATTCGATCCAACCCGCATGAAACAATTTTCCTATATAATAACACCAGGCATGTGTTTTCTAAACAGTACATATCTCGAAAGGGAGCAAGACATGCGACATAGAAAAACCTGAAGACATGGGAGCTGAAAGATTCGATGAACCTTAGTACATAGGAATGAGAGATTCAATGGAGAAAATAATTAAATGAAGAAACTTATGGAAAAAAATATTAAGCTTCCCAGTAAGAGCGCACCACCTCTAAAACAACTACTTCCGCCTTAATACCACGAACTCCCACTAGGAAATGCACTCATTTAGAGATGGAGATCAATTTCCATAGAGAAAAGAATTCCCAATGTTTCCTATTTAAATGAAGGAGAACAAAAGCCACGATACCCCACATTTCCCATAAAGAGAGAACAATTTTCACAGAGAGAGAGAGAGAGAGCAGAGGGAATGATGATTTCCATGGCAGGCTTCTATGAAATTCTCAGTACCATGGTTCCCTTGTACTTGGCCATGTTATTAGCTTTTGCTTCTGTGAAATGGTGGAGAATGTTCAGTGATGAGCAATGCTCAGGAATCAACAAATTTGTCGCAAATTTTGCGGCCCCCCTTCTTTCATTCAAAATCATCTACTCCAATGATCCTTACAAGATGAACCACAAACTCATACTCGCCGACACCATGCAAAAACTACTGATACTGTTTGCGCTGATGTTGTGGGTTAAATTAACGAAACGGGGGAGTTTCGATTGGATGATAACTCTATTTTCGATGTCTACTTTGCCTAACACTGTGATTTTGGGGATACCTTTGTTGAGGGCGATGTATGGTGAAGAGAGTGAACAGATTTTGTTTCAAATTGTGGTGCTTCAGTTTGTAGTGTGGTACCCATTTTTGTTGTTCTTGTATGAGCTTCGAGAGGCGAAGGGAGCTGTCGGTCGTCGGGTTTCAACGGCGGTGATCAATGGTAGCACCGTGGTTTTGGAAGTTGAGGCTAGGAGTGAGACGCGGATGAGTTCTCTATCACTGGCAACCGTTGATGGTCAGGGTTCGACGACAGCGATGAATGGTAGCGTGGTTTTGGTTGTTGAGGCAAGCGCCAAAGAGAATTCCTTAGGTATGGGATCTAGTCTTTATTTGGTGTCCTATCTAATAAGGAGAAGTATTTGGTGAGTCAGCCGACTCGTACTATTTTGTGCGGTCTCTCTATAAAATATACCTCAAAGATGTATTTTCAACCCAAAATTTTAAGGTATTTACAATTTTTCTTTTTCAAAGAATGTAAATGTTATTTTTTAAATTTCTTTCTTCACAGTCTATCCTAACTTTTAGGGGATGTAATATTTTTTTGACATCCATCTTAGAGATGGACATTAGATAGACAAGGGACCGCACCGTAATAGGTGAGTCGGCTGACTCACCAAAACCGCGTCCATAACAAAAATATCTTATGGATTTCCTCGTGTTTTTCTGCTTTAGACTTTAATTTGATTCTAGAGCTGGTGGGTCAGGACTTGCCTAAGCATGAGCTCGCCTGGGTCCTTATTGGCCCATGTAAAGGCCCATTTCGAATAGGGAAGGGGCAGGGATAATAGATGGAAGGACCATTTAAACATTTGTTGTCTAAAACGATCACCACTTGTAGAATTAAACTATTTAGCTAAATTTGGCATTGGCACTTGGAGGACCGAAATCTCTCCGAGAAAAGGTTAGGTCATATGGGTTCGGCATATAGGTATGGAACCTATATGAAATACAAAACTATGGCTGAAACAAAGATTGTAGATGTAGAATACAAAACTTATGGGACTATTTTTGAAAAATGAAAAAGATGTTAGGTTAATTGCCATCTTAATTTTTTTCATTCTAAAGGCATTTAATAATATATTCTATACAATTTTAATATTTGAAACCTGAGTAAAATTTCATGGATATTTGTGTGTGTATGTATGGAAATGTAAACAATAAGGCCATTTATTTTTTAAACAAGGAGATCATAATCACTATTGACCATTAGATTTAAAATTGGGTGGTTGGGAATGTGTTAATTTTTAGATACACATTCTAAAATAAAATATTTCGAATATTGTATCACACTGTCATCTATAGGATTTCACATCCAATAGAGTGTGTGTATATATATACACACGTAGAGAGAGAGAGAGAGAGAGAAGAGAGAGAGAGAGAGAGATTTAAATGTCACCATATCATTGTCATATAACGAAACCACATTTCTAAAAAAATCATGTTAGTGACATTTGTATGACCTTAAAATTTGTATACACCCTCTCTTCATCCTAATAATCAATTCTAAAAAATACAATTCAAATTGCATCATATATATGACCAAAATGAGTCACCCTCCAAACATGATTAGAAACATGGTTAGAAACTATTTTTATGCTTTCGGTATGCATTGCACAATAAATCTGTACTTTTATTTTTGTTTCTATGAAATGGTAGCTTCATATTTCTAAATCTTGACATACTGTTATGTGGTGCTCTTTGATTTTTGTTCAAGGCTATTTGAATGGAGAAGAGGGTACTGCAAATTCTAAAGAAAGAGAAGTTCAAGTAGAGGCCGCTCCCCCTCAAATGAGAATGATAAATCTACTCATTTTGGTTTGGTCCAAGGTGATAAAGAACCCCAACACCTACTCAAGTATCTTGGGCCTCGTCTGGGGGCTCATTTCCTTCAGGTAATCCTTAAACTTGTTGTTTGTAAAAAAAAAAAATATTCTTTTCTTAATAGGGCTGAGAATTTACTCGATCTGGATCCGAAACGTAAAATTCAAATCCTATTAGGATCCCAGTATGGATGCAAGATTTGGATCCAAAATGTGGATTAGATCCGAAAGTAATTTGGGTTGGATCCGAGTATAGGTGGATCCAATCTGGATCTGCCCTAATTATATTTTAACTTTATAATATAAAAAATTGGAACTTATCCAAATCCGAATTCGAATGTGGGTCCTATATATAGCTTCAGATCCAAATCTAGATCTGAATATTCTGGATCCGGATGCAGATCCAAAGATGCATCCTTTTAAGATCCGGATCGTGATCGGGGTGAATTTGAACCCGAACTGAAAAATTCTCAGCCCAATTCTCTAGATTAGCAAATTTTTTTGAAGGGAACTTGAAAGATGAGAAAAGCTCAATAGAGTGGTAAAAATTGTTCGGGAAAGAAACAAGTACAATGTCGCCACCAAACCTTTATCATGTTTTTTTGAGTTTCCTTTTTGAGTGGTTTTCCTTTTGACTACCATGTGTAGGCCTCATTTTTTTATAAATGGTGCCACCAATAGTCAATAAAGGCCATTGCTCTTTAAGGTGCATCGCTTTCATATTTGCAATTATATATTAGGAAAATAGAAAATAAAAAAGTTCGTGCAAATGACTTGTAAGGCTTTTCCTTTGAAATAAGGCTTCTAAACTCCCTTACAACACTTGAAAATGTTAGAAATTAATCAATGTTTTAAAGATCGCCTTGGCCAAGGGAAGTAATATGGCCGAGTCTGAGCAGAGTTATGTACACCATTAAAAAGATACAAATATTAATGATTTAGATTAAAAGACGTAATATAAATTATTAGAAGACTAAAGAAAATAAAAAAAAATTTATAAAGATGAATTATTGAAAAAAAAATTATATACTTTGAATGATTTAGAAAATTTTGAAACACAAGAAAATTATTAAAGTTTCCAAATCATCTTAATAACTATCAAAATGATCTATAAACATATTTCTAACTATTATATTAGTCTTTTCCCTTTCTTTTTGTATTATTAACATTTTTTTATATTTTTTGTCGGTTTAAGGTTTTGCGAATTGCCCTAGAACTAACCCCTAATCGGCCGAGTCCATGTCCTAGTAGACTTGGCAAAGCCCTGAAAGCTGTTTCTGAGTCTGTAGTTCTAATTTGAATGGTTCCTATACATGTCTTAAACTTTATATAATGTTGGTTTAACTTGTCATTGCAGGTTCAACATAAGAATGCCAAAGATAGTAGACAAATCTGTGACGATTCTGTCCGTTACCGGTCTTGGCTTATCAATGTTCAGTTTAGGTGTGCCTCGCTTATATTTTTCTTTGCATCTTTTTTAAATGAATCTTTCTTTGTTTTGAACTTTTAAGTAAGAATTTCATTGAACTAATGAAAAGGTACAAAGAGAGAAATCAAAAAGAAGAAATACAGAGAAACAAAACAGAAGAAGAAGAAAAAAAACAGACAACGAAATCCACATCCAACAACTGGATCACAGACCCAGTGACTTCCTTTGCAATAAGATCAGCATCCCAATTCCTCAATCTATTAACATGAGAGAAAGTGACCTGTATGTTATCTCATTCATAATCACCTGTATGTTATCTCATTCATAATCTATGTGAGGAACAATGGAGTGGTGGTCGGTTCTACGTACCATCTAATAACATTAAAGCAGTCACCCTCCACTACAACCAAGCGATGCAGGAAGTCTAGCCTTCTAACTCCTTCCATTAGCGCCTTGAGCTCTGCCTCGTTGATCTCGTAAAAATCCAAATAGCCGCCAAATCCTGAAACCCCCATCTCTTGCCTAGCACTTCCATCGAAGTTTAACTTGAACCATCCAGGTGTTAGGGGTTTAAAAGTCGAATCCTTGATAACTTTGACTGTTTTAGTTTGAAACAAATTGTTACAGTTTGTCGAGAAGAATTCTTTTGGAAGGCCCCTAATATCAGAGAATGCTTGTGCCCATTGTATGATGTAGGTAGCGATAGATTCGATGATCTGCTCCAGTTCCTTGGATCTATTTTTAAAAGTTCTTGCATTCCTTTCTTTCCAAATACCCCAATACACTGCTGCTATCAGTGTTCTCCATTGGCGTCTTCCACTTTTCGGATAAGGGGGCTATGAATTAGTTGAAAGAAAGATTTAATGTCCTCCAACATAGCCGCCCATCATAGTGTTGACCTCTGCACCAAATCCATATTTGGTCTACCGAAGGACACTGTAAAAATAAGTGAGAATTTGATTCTACATCAGTTTTACATAGGAGACATATGTTGGTTATAGGCATTCCTCTTCTTCAAAGTTGTTCCACAGATAGGACACTATCTTCTTCCAACAACTATAAGAACGCTTTTACATCCAATGGGCATTTGATGGACCAGATTTTTGTGTTGCCATTACCCCTAAGTACCGATAAAGAGACAAAAATACGAACAATATTTTTGTAAATTCCCCCGTTTGTTGAGGATTCCAAGCATGGAACATAAAAATATACTGAAAAGCACACAATCTGTGGCTTAGTCCACTAGAGCCAAATGACATAAATATTTTTGCTAGATCTTGGATCCAAACCTACATAATTTTGCTTAAGCTAATCAGGCGGTATTAGATTTCCAAACACCTCTGTTTGTTTAAAATAACCTTGAATATATACAATTTGGGATTTTTTATATAAACTAGTTGAGGAAGCACTTGAGTTAAATGATTAAATAAAAAAAACCACCTCATCGATAAATTGGTTGGTTTAAGTATCAGCTTGATTTTGGGAGGTTTCGCAATCATAATGACATTTTCAGAAATATTTCCACAGGAAAAGTAAATAATCAAATCTTAATATTGGGAACTTGATATACTACTCATTTTACTACTTTCAAAAGAAGAAAAGTTGAGGACTTCAGAACAAGAGTATTTCGTATTTTAAAAAAAAAAAAAAGAGGGTTGACGGACTTTTTTTATAATTTCCACTTATAAATGAAGTATTTCATATTTTAAAATCCATACATAAATCACTATAAAATCAAGGTTCTTACGTTTATAACCATGACATATGGGAACGCTAAAAGACAGCCTGGTCCCCACAGATGAAAACGCTGATCTTTTTGTTGATGTTTGCAGGTCTTTTCATGGCATCTCAGCCCAACTTAATGCCATGTGGAAAGCGCAATGCTACGATTGCCATGTTCGTGAGATTTTCCTTCTCAGTCGTTGTTATGTCTATGTGTTCCATCTTGTTAGGGCTACAAGGCAACTTGTTGAAAGTTGCCATAGTTCAGGTATGCCTGCTCCAAAATACAATCCGAACTTTGATAATCAGGAAAATTTGCAGTGTTTGTTGATATTGAAGTTTTGCAATCCAAGCTATGCTTCATATGCTGTATTTCGTCTTGTAGGTTCAACTGGGAAAAAGTAAAAGTGAAAAAAGAGGACTTCTTATGAAATTTTGAAGTTTGAATACTTCAAAATATCCTTTTATTGATACATTATATGATTTTATACAAAATGAAAAGAACAATTGTTTCCTGTGGACTGGACGGCATTTGTACAATATGCTGTTCAAAAGTACAAAGCATCCATCTTAAAGATGAATGCAAATAGGTGGTCCATCTAAAAACAATTGTAACTAACAATTCAAATATTTTTTTAATATAATTCTCATTTCTACTTTTCAAATTTTATTTATTTATTATATTCATGATCTCCATGTTAAAGATTTTATATTCTCTAAAAATTGGAATCAAATTATATTAAAAAAAATATTTATTATCAAGCCAACATTGTAACATGTGCAGGCTTGGTCGCATGCTAACCACATTCAAATGAAAATCAATATGACGATCTACTGCATTGTTTTCAAACTTGCCTCGGTAAAGGTATTTGTTCATGGCCTAAAAAAACAACCTAAAAAGTTCAAATAATCTTAAAAAATATACAAAATACAAATCTAAATACAATGATTTATAATTGTGTATATTTTAAAGATTGTGGTTTTTATAAGGTTGCAACCTTGAACAATCCAATTAAGCAGCACCTCCAAATTTTATCATAACATGTAATTTTGGTGCAAAAAATTTTAAACTCTAAAAATGGTTAAAATCAAGTAGATCTATAAATGTATAAAAATCTTGAAAGTGGACGAACTAAATAATGTGTTCCAAAGTGCACTATATCTGAGACTCAAAATTTTTTTTTTTTTTATTCATATTCATACATCTCGATGTCGAGATGATCAATTAGAGAGTTTTTCAACATTAAAACAATCGTTTTAGATGGATTTTTGAGATGCATCTTTAAGTTTTTATTTTAAGGTTGCAACCCTATATAAACTTTTTCTATTTTAAACAACCCAAAAAGGAGGAAAATTTAAAGTAGGTCATATGGCAAGAAAAATTCACCAATCTTAGCTAAAAGTATCCAATTTCATAGGTCAATCTTGTATTTTTGGATATTTTTTAAGGTTTCTTTATACGTTTTTATACACCCCAAGATGTACAGGGTAACTCAGCTCTCCAAGAGGGTGAGTCTGAATAATTCGGTTGAGTTCATTCAAACACGGCTGAGTCTAAAAACATTGATCTAATCAATAATATTTTACGTTTATATTGCGTTTGAATTATGAAAATATCTTTTTAGGTATTAAAAAAATTAAAAATAAATTTGTTCTATATACGAATTGTATGATCTTATATTGAGTTTATTTGTCCTTTCAAAAAATCTTATAAATCAATTCAGATTAATATCTTATGCAAAATTGAAATTAGTGCTTTGTTCCTTTTTAAGAACACACTAAAATATATAAGAAACCCGAGAGCTAGTACCCACCAAGACCATGCACTTAGCTGGCTAAAAACAAAATAAGTGAGAGCATTAAGGACTATAAAATTCAGAGGAAAAAAAGGAAGAGCAAGAAATCCTCTTTTATCTTTCCCTCTCTCCATCCTCTCTCTCTCTCTCACTCGCTCCATCTTTGCTACCTCTCCTCTTTCTCTCTCTATCAACCCACAATCTCTTTCTATTTTTTCCACACTTTCTTCTTTCTCTCTCTATCTTTGTAAACCTTAATCTCTGACCAAGCTATTTTAAAATATTACCCTTTATTCTTCATTTATGAAAAACTATCAAAAAAAAGTCTTATAACAAGTCTACCCACAATAATGAGAACTACACAATATTGAGAATGGTAAAACGTGGACAAAGGATAAAAAAAAACTTCTGAATTTCTAATATACATATCTTCCCAACAATTCAAATAGTGGACATGCATCTTCCAAGATCTTTTATCAAATTCTATCCAAAAAGATACCTATATTCTAGGAGATGCCTATCCTAAAATATACCACTACCAAGAGAGGCATCTCCTCGATACCACTACCAAGAGAGGCATCTCCTCATGGTACCCATTTCCTAATGGGGCCTAAAGGGTTACGATTTACATCTCCACAAGATAGGAAACAATATTAATCAAGTCTCTACAACATAGGAATAAGTGTATTCATGTATATCCATCATATAATTCAATCTTCAAAATTGAAAAGAAAATAAATAATGATAACAATAATATTAATAATAATAACATAAAAAAAATAAAAATAAAAAAAATAAAAAAAAGGCTTCTATGGGGTGGTGATTTTGGTGTCACCGACACCAACATATTCTTGGCTCCATGGGCTAAATTTTTTTTGAAACTCCCAATTGTAAAGCATGGCTTAGAAGAGTAGATAGCATCTCTTTTTCTCCCCACAAGATTCCCATAATCGCAAGGGGCCAAAGGTTTGCACTAAAGTGAAGAGTTCCAAAAAAAATTGGTGCTTCACAACGATGTCACAAATCAGAAAATTGCCATTGTGACGCAATTAAAAACTGTTTTATTTTTTTAAGGAAAATTGTTTCATGTGGACTGGACCGCATTATGGATGCAAATATGTAGCTTATTTAAAAACAATTGAAACTAACCGTCTAAATGTTTTTTTAATACATTTATTATTTTTAGCTTTAATATTTATTTATTTATTTATTCATATTCACTATCTCCATATTAGACATTACATATCCTAAAAAAGTAAGTCCAAAAATCCATCTCAAAAATAAATTTATTAAAGGACTCGCATTTCTACATGTGCAGGCTTGGCCCGCATGCTAACCGCATCCTTTTTATTAAAAGGGAAAATGATCATTTCCATGCCATAAACTGCAAAAGATTGTGTCAAAGTTGTTAAAACTTAATAAAAAATAGTTGTTTTAAGAGAGCTATGATTGTTTATGGATCTAACAAAGGGACAAAGTTTTTGTTTTGTATTTTTTTTTTTTGAGCACCTAGATGAGAGTTACATTGGTGCAAAATTTGATGTCAAGCCACCTCTAACATGTAATGTGTAAATTTATCTCTTCAATATTCGGCCTATATCATGCTATAGTCTAGTTAGCTCATAATCTTCTTTCGATCTTTATTAGCTTAGTTGTGAGATTTAAATTTTACAGTGCACTTTATAGGCGGCACTTCCACAAGGAGTGATTACCTTTGTATTTGCTGAGGAGTACAAGGCCCATGAAGACATTTTAAGCACCGCGTAAGCCACACTAGCCCTCTTTTTATTGTATCATATGAATATGCGAAAAACAATGAGGTCACTATTTGGTGATTAGATTTGAAATAGGCAATTAGGGGTATAAGCCATTGATCATGTACAAAGTTTAAAAGAAAATTTTTTGAGTTTGTGATGCATCCCAAGCTATCAATTTATACCTACCCATGAGAGATGATTGTCATCTCCTTGTATAAAAGTTAAATGGCCTTATAGTGTAGAGAAAGTTTATACAGAGTCGAGGCTCTAAACAATCACATTAGATGCCACATCAAAAATTTCATTAAGAGGTTGTTTTGATACCCAAATATCCTTAAATTGATCATCTCGACATGAAGATGCATGGACATGAGAAAAAATAGATTTCAAGTTTTGAAAATAGTGCATCTTGTAACACATTTTTGGGCTGTCAATTTTTACGATTTTCAGATTTTCATAGATCTGCTCGATCTACACTATTTTTTAAGCTTTAAATTTTATAATTAAAGATAAAAATATATTTTAAGGCTATCATAAGATTTCCTATATTGAAACCACATTTCTCGACACTATTTGAAGATGCCTTGTAATTTAATTGTTTAGAGCCTCATCTCCATACAAACCGCACCAAATGGTATAAGGTATATACTCTCTAGAAATATCCATACAAATTTGAAGTTATTAGAAGTCTCAGTTTTCTTGATGATAATTCATCTCCATTGCAGGGTTTGTTTTGGCACGCTTATTTCATTGCCAATAACTTTGGCATACTACTTCTTGCTAAGTGTTTTTCATGCATGAGATAGAGAGCTTCTCAAAAATGGCCATGGAGGATAAAGATGGTCATAAGCAAGGCACAAAGAAGAACATTCCCTTTTTAAGGAGAAGATATTGTTGTTAGGTCCAAGCTTCAAACTCTTGACCTCTCAAATAATTACCAAATACCACAAAATATGGATCTTTCTCTGCTACGTCGAAGTTGCAGCCGCATATGGATGGAAGGCACCAGCATATTGATGAAGATTACTTAAAACTTGATCGTACAGATGTTCATGCTTTGAAATGGACGACTTGGATTGAGAGGGGATGTTCATGGTCTCTTACCAACATGGCTTTATGGGGAAGTTGTTTCTTGCTATTTGAGAATTTTATGTGTAGTGATCCCTCATCACTATTTTCAAATGTATATTCAACTATGCCACTTCCTAAGGCTAATAACTCATAAATATCATTTAAATGATCAAACTATTTAAAAATCAATGAGATAGTTAATTCAATATTTATAATAATAAGGATTCGCTTCAAAATAATTACATTTACTAATATTCAATGCTAGTTATGAAATAAAATGGAACAATATTAGGTAAAAAAAGTGAGCTTCGACAGGCAGCATGTTAATCAAGATTAAAATGTGTTCTTGCATAATGTGTATTTAGTGATAATGTCCATTTTTTTTATTTGTCAAATTTGTGAGAGACTCTATTTCTATATATTTGGGCTTTAAGCCCCCATAAAAAATGTATTTTAGAGGGTAATGAAGAAGTGAACAAGAGACCCAATTTATAGGTTTACAAAGATATAATGAACTACCTTCCTAATATGGGTATACATAAGAAGGAAAATATTGTTATTAAACATCAGTGCAAGTTTTTATATTTTCCACACTCCCTTTCAAACTCAAGATGCATTAAGAAAGAGCAACTTGAGTTTGGACAATTGAAGGCAGGCGTTATTAACAAAGCAATAACAAAAGAAGCTTGAACAACTGCAAATTAATGATCCGCAGAATCCGACATCAATTCTTCAGGTACAAGGCATGACCGATAGAAGTAGTGGTTTTCATGTTCAGATTACTTGAATAACAAGAACAGAAAACAGCAGATCTCAGGAACAGACGGAACATTCAAGATCGATAAATTTGATCATCAAACAGGAGACTGAATAGAGAGTCGAAACACGACTCGACAGGGAGACAGATCAGATATTCGAAACATGACTTGACAGAGAGACAGATCAGATAGTCGAAACATAACTCGATAGAGAGACAGATCAGATAGTCGAAACACAACTCGACAGAGAGACAAATCAGAGAGTCGAAACCCGACTCAATAGACTGTTTTCTGGATGGTGCAGATCGACCGTTTTTAAATGCCAATTTTAGAGATGAATTTAAAGGCGGGTTTCAAATCCAGGTCGCAAAGGGTCCGGCATCAAAGATGAGCAATGATTTTGCTTTTGCAAACAAAGATAAACCACGGGAAGGTTTCTAGTAAAAGCACAAAAGTTTTGCTTTTCTTTTCTTTCCTCTTTGGGAATGAAAAAAAAAAAACATGAGAGAATGGAAAGAAGAAAGTAAGCAAGCTCCGCCAGCACCAAGATGAAAAGGAGGAGAGTGGGATCAACAACTCTAAACAAGATCACCTAAATATTATGGATCCCCAATGATGCACAATGGACCACCTTTTTAAGAGGACGCAAAAAGTCAAGGCAAGAAAAAAACCAACGAGGGCAAATCGAAGAGAGGGGAACAGAGAAGAACGGGAGAGAGAAACCCAATGAAAAACAGAACAGAGAGAGAAAGGTATGAAAAGCCCGAGCTGCTGAGCTCCGATCGATACTCAGTGCGAGCCGACATAAGACCCTATTAAAAGCCAGATGTCATGCTTCAATGATGGCCAAATAATGGCACCCATGACAGCTCCTTCCCTTCCAGTTTGAATCCTATGGCGTTACTGAATGGAAGGAATCTGAGATGGGTTTTTATTTTCCAGTGAAATCTCAGGGTGGGTTTTATTTTCCGGCAAAATCTCGGGATGGTTTTTATGTTCCGGCCAATTCTGAGGTAGGTTTGTCTGTCTGGGTGACCTTTTGGGGGAAGAGATATTTTCCTGCCATTTGAGACTTTCCGGCAAGCGTCCGAGGAAGGGCAGAGAGGCCCATCGCCTTATGGAGGAAGAGATCCTCGCTGGGGAAGTGGCTGTTTCATGAAAGACGGCAATTTTCTTGCAAGTTTCCGGCGGTGGAGGCTCTGTGAGGTTCTGGACGTCTGTGAAAGAAGGAGAGGAGAAGCTTAAGATGATCCCCACCAAGCCCATGGTGGTGGAGACCTTCTCTGAGTACCCACCCCTTGGTAGGTTTGCAGTGAGAGACATGAGGTAAACGGTGGAAGTCGGTGTTATCAAGGCCATTGAGGCGGATTCGTGGCCTCCAACTCTAAGGACGATCCTGCACTATCCTGGCCAAATAGGCAATGGTTATACCGTTGTGCTCGACTGCCACTCCTCTCCCAAGTGAGAGAAAACTTAGAGAGAGAAAACGCAGAGAGGGTAAGAGAGAAGAAGCAGAGAGAGAGAGAGAGAGAGAGCAGAGGAAAACCCCCTAAAAACGAAGGGGATGGAGCAGCGAGAGAGAGCAGAGAAAATCCTCCAAAAACGAAGAGAGTGTTGGCCCTGACAGTTGCAGAGAGACTCAGAGTGAGGGAAAGTTGCAGCCTGGCAGAGAGAGAGAGAGAGGCCGTTTAGGGAATATGGGGTTTGAAGAGATGTAGAGAGAGAGTGACCAGTTCTGTAGGGTAGAGAGAGAAAATAACCAGAGAGTATGAGGGTTTTAGTTTACAGAGTAGGGCAGAGAGACAGAAAATAACTAGAGAACCAGAGATATCCAGGAAAGTGACTGAAGACAAGAAGATGGCACTTGTGTGAAGTACAGTAGGAGTTCTAGAGAGAGAAAGAGGTCTGAGAGAGAGAAAAGAAAAGGTCGCGTGAAAAGAGAGGTCTGAGGGAGAATACCGTAAAGCAGAACAGGCTCTGAAAACAATGAAACTACATTTCTGTACATTTGGGCCTCAATCCTCTACGAAACTGTATTATTGAGCTCGAAAAAAATACAAACAGGAGCACAATTTATAGGGTTATAAAGATACGTAGTATCATATAAACTAATGTACAAAAGTTCAATTTATAAAGTTACATAGATATGGAGTATTATAGAAATTAATGTATGCAGTAAACTACTTTTCTGATATGATATAAGTAAAAAAAAAAAATACTGTTTTTAAACATCAGTTTAGGTTTCCTAAACATCAATGGAGGTTTCTATATTTTCTACAACAGTCAGGTTTCTATATTAATTGTTGTTTAGAGTTTAGAAAACCTGGACTGATGTTTAGAAAAATATTATTCTTAAATATCAGCTCAAGTTTTTTAAATATCAATGCAGGTTTTATATTTCATAAATACTTTACTTTAATTGTTTAGAGTATCGACTCTATACAAACCACACCTAAAATAAATATATAAAGTAATATTACATGATATAGATCCGTACTAGGCCAAGAGAGAGGAGAGAAAAAATGTTGGGAAATTTACGTACGTACCAAGTTTTTTTACCGTTATAACAGTATGGCTGTTATTATCTAGAAGGATATCTTCATAAATTTTTTTTATTTTTTACCAAGTTTGTTTTTAGTTTGATATGTTTGAAACATCATATTGTTTGGTTTAGCAAAAAAAAAAAAAACATAACAAAAGGCAGTCCACATTGTTTACTTAAAAAAAAAGAGCAAAAGGCGGTCTACTCGAACATCAGACCGCTTGTTTTACTAAAACAAATAAATAAAAGACTATATGATGATTTAAATATCGGACTGCTTGTTTTAGTAAAAA